GCCAGCAGATGAATTTGGTCCTGAATGATAAGCGGTATGCAGTGTGCTACAGTTCTTTCTTTGTAGCAGCTCTGGGATATGAGCAAAGGCTCACTTCAACTGTCAAATCCAATCTTACGCGACAGAAAGTCGACCTAGATTTTCTGTTGAAACTTCATTAAACTAGTGAAAACGAATATTTTGCCAGAAATTTATAACAAAAAGTAGCCATTTTCTTAGAAATACCACTGCAGCAGACTTTGAGAAACTGACGGCGAGAAGACGATGCGACAAGTTTTGAGGACCTAGTATAACGGCGAATATCTACCAAAACTACAAATGCCTCAATGATAGGCTTCTTGGATGCGCTCAATCTGTACGGCTGAATTGAGGGATCTTCGCAGTTACAAGAATTCTGTTAGGGAAGGGAAGGAACACGAAAAAGAATAAAACCCAGGACGTGGAGTACTGTCTTCTTTGCAGACACCAGATGGAGACTGAACGCGATTCAAATGAAGCAAAGCCTCCAGAAGTGCTGAAGAAAACAATTGCCATTTCGCACTAGAGTGAAGTCTAATAATGGACAGAAAAAACATGGAGAAAATCTTGCATGAATATCTTTGCATCATTCGAAATACTATCTCGTGGTAAAGCTCCAGATAATACTTCAAACGAAACTGGCGGATGAATTTCAAATGAAACTGGCAGATGACATAGTTCTTGCTGCGAGCTATCTCAGCAAATGAAGTGCTGCAGGAGCTCAATGCACTAAGGAAGTGGACTTGATATTTAATACATCGGAAAAAATGTGACGCGTAATGCTGATATGCTCGCAGTACATGTGCCGCAGTCCCGAGCTGGAAATTGACGTAGGATTGCCGTTTGGCACAAATCTCACAGTATTGTCTTGTTCTGAAAGTGTGAACCAGTCTCTTCCATACTACCGTTCTTAAGGAACTTACGAACAGATGCCGAACGTATTTAGTTATAACGCAGAAGACGGAGCGCTAGCTGTGACAGAGAGAGCGATGGTGTAACAGACGCTCACTGTTGTTCTTCGTGACCACACAAACAATCACATTGTCCAAAAGATAAGCGAATTGCAGGATATCAGTACGACTGCGTGAAAGTGCAAAATCCTTTCGGCAACATATTGTTCACTTTGCCGACAACCAGTAAATATTGCTCATCAGTGAATGTTACCCTCGAATAAACAATCACTCGGTCAGACTTCGAAGAGGTGGCTCAT